AATCAATTGATGTGTCTCTCTCACATTGATGTTTCTCTCTCTGTCTCTTCCCCTCCCTTCCATTCTCTCTAAAAATCAATGGGGGGGAAATATCCTCAGGTGAGGATTAACAAAACCAAAACAAATAAAACTGAAACAAAATTCCAGGCAATGGAGCATACAGTAATTAATTTTATTCTCTGCATCATGGCCTAGAGTTCTGCTAAGTTCCGTAGTTGTTATTTATAGCTTCATATATGGGATATTTTTAGAAAACAAAACACCCACACATGTCATATAATTCTCTACCATAAATCCATAAAGAGTGTATTTAATCAAAGTTATAGAGGGCTCACAAGAAAAAAAAAAGCTCTTATATTAGAAGACTGGGGTTTGTATTCCACTGTACCATTTTTTCCAGTGGCCTCTAATTCTTCCAATATCTTGTGGGAAACCAAATGACAGTTCTTACCCAAAACAGGAAAAGGCAAAAGATGGCTTGGGACTAGGGAGCTCTGAATCTTATTTCACAGCTGCTCAAATTGCATCAGTCTCTTTAATTCTCTTAAATGGCCACCCTGGCTAAATTTTATATCCGCTTTCAGCGCTATCATTTTATTATCTTGTCCTTTGTGGATACATGTAGTGACTCTGAATGGCCTTATCCTTTAGCCAGTGCCTGTATTTTCAATAAAAGCACCTCCACAGATGTTCATATAAGGGGCCTGCATATGCAAGCCTGGCTGGTGGCCAGCAAGGTAGATTAGGCTTTCTTGGGTGTTCCAGAAACACACAGTTATTCTTTCCACAGCCTAAAGTGAGAGTTCAATTTTATTTCCTTTGAATGGGACTCCTTAATCTCCTAGTTTATCTTATGGGAAATACATTAAGATTCCTGACGAGAGCTCACGGTTATTCACTCTTTCTTGGTCTTTCTAAAACCTAGATTAGTAAGCTTAAAACCATAGAACTATAACCATGGAATGAGTAAGGTTTAAATTTGAATACCAAAATGTCTGTAAAGTAGTAGTGTAAATGCTTAACAAAAATATTTTTAAAAATCCCACAAAAGAAGGTAGTGTTGCAGCAAAATTCAGAGTTCCTTACAGCTTCATACATCAGCTTTGCCAGCTGTCCTGTCTTCATTGTGAAGGTGCAGGACCTGTGGGTTATCTGAGTGTCTTTGTGGGGCATTGCTGTAACATTGGTTCCTGGTGGCTGGAAATGTTCACGTTCTGCATTACTTAGATATAATAGAGATTCATATCTCAGAGTGTGTCATAGCATAAAGCAATACACTGCATCTCACTATATCTTTGGAAACTCGAAAGTATTTTTAAAGATTTCTGATTCCCCATGGGCTCCCGTAATACTTTTCCATGGCCTAGAAATATTTTGTATTGAGGCAAAGTCACTATGCATGGAGGTCCCTCTATGTGGCTATCTCGGTGATATTTAGGGCCAGATTAATGAGACCTCAGTATGTGAGTTAGTCATGCTTTGCTTGTGTGTGGCAGCGCATTTAGGTTAGGCTGACTGCTGGAAAAGGACCACCCAATCTTTGCAGTTGACCTAACAAGCTGCCACCAATTCCAAGAGGAAAATTCATTAATACCTTAATGAATGAGAGTTGTTTGCATTGCCTGAAAGTATGTCAGCTACAGAATCTTTGCCTAATTTGATTCTTATAGGGTCAGTCTGATTCCATTAGTAATTTGATAAAAAGCCGGAGCCAGTTGGCTCCAGACCAGGTGTCAGCGTGCCCCCCAGCCCACCAGCTCAATGCCACGCTGTGTAATGTTGCTGTGCTCTGTAAAACAGATGTTATGATTTACTCCAGACATCCTGCATTTCATTAAGGAGTGAAGTAGCCAGTTATCTCATTCACTTAGTTTTCAATGGACCAATCAATGGACTGAACTGTGTGGTCTGTAAAATCTGATCCCAGGTTTAGCTTTTACTTAGAGTATGTGCTATAGAATGCCATTACCCCCACCACTCTTACCATTTTCTCTTCTACACAGTATGTCTCTCTGCTCTTTTTATTTATAGATGAATTATTCTAAATCACATTCCCAAGGGACAATTACTTGTCATTATTTTCAGATATCAGTATTTTTCTTCTTGAAATACTATTGATCTTATAATTCAGAAGCTTGATATAATATTTAATAAATTTATCTGGTGCAGTTAAGCCAATTTTCTCTCATTGGTTTTTTTAAGGTTACAAACTGATATTAAGACTGTGAATGTGTGCTCAAGGATGAGAGACGCTAACTGTGTACCATCTCCTGAGAGACAGAAAAGCAGCCTCTTTGGTCTGCCACCCCCAGAGCATTTCCACTCATGGTTTTGGCCATAAACATGGGATAGGTAGGTAGGCAAATGAATGGGCAGACTTATCCAGACATTCAGCCAGCCATCCATTTAGGTTCTTCTGTATCTCATATCTCATGTCTACTCTATGCCAATAGATAATAGATAATAATAAATGACAAACTCCTTCAGTGACTGCCTACTTTGAATATTGTGTTTCAGGATAAACTGTTCACTATATTTTTCCACACCACTTTTTTTGTTTCCAGTGCAATTCTTTTTTTTTTTTTAATATGTTTTTATTGATTTCGGAGAGGAAGGGAGAGAGAGACAGAGATACAAACATTAGTGATGAGAATGATTGATTGGCTGCCTCCTGCACGCCTCCTACTGGGGATTGAGCCTCATTCTCTAATGCATTTTAATTTACTCTTTTTAAAAATTAGAATTCAATGGAATGACACATGAAAGATCAGCCCTCTTACTTTTCTTTTCTTTTTTAAGTACCTTTCATTCCTTTCTCCTACACCCTAATTAATATAAATTGCTTCTTTCATTTTTTCTCTTCCTCCCCCCAAAGTCAGAAGAGATAGTAGACAGTGGTGTGGTATGGAACTGTGGCCAGCACTGAGGGAGAACTCTTCTTAGTCACTTTTTCTTCAAAAATTATAAAATGTATGTCAGTTAAACTGAGCATTATGATTACTTCACAAAATTGCATTAAAGAAAACATGTCTATGAAAGATCAGTCGGAAGCCGAAAACCAGGTTATTACAGGCTTTATTAGGAGAAAGACCTGCTGGGCTGTCTCACAACGGGAGAGCAGCGGCCCTGACAGAGGTGAGCGCTCCTTTTGAGGGGAGGAATGCGGAAAGAACGGGGCTTAGGGTACTCGGCGCGCGCTAATAGGTGATTCAGTGTATAGTCCATATAAGGTACAGAATTGGGCCTCCTGGCATTTCCGGGCTGCAGGCTGTGTCATGATTACCGTTACTCTGCCCGCCATTTCGGGGAAGAGGTGATCTATCAGTATATAAAAAGCTTATGTGCAAATATTTTATGCTTCAGGGATTATAGCAAAATTAATGAATTTTCAGGTATATTTTCTATTTCCTTAGGTTTCTTTTATGTTTTAGCTTTGCTCTATACCAGTGATGGCAAACCTTTTGAGCTCGGCGTGTCCGCATTTTGAAAAACCCTAACTTAACTCTGGTGCCGTGTCACATATAGAAATTTTTTGATCTTTGCAACCATAGTATAAAAAAGATTTATATTTTTGATATTTATTTTATATATTTAAATGCCATTTAACAAAGAAAAATCAACCAAAACAATGAGTTCACGTGTCACCTCTGACACGCGTGTCATAGGTTCATCATCACTGCTCTATAGACTTAAATAGTAGTGAAAGCTTATTTTTTCAAATGTGTGATGGTTTGCGGGGGAGGAGCCTTATTTGGTAATTGTGAATAACCTGCAATACCTGGAATCATTAATAGTTTGGACAATGTGATTTTCAGTCTATCTTCATTACACTTTTCTTTGCAATAGTTAATGTATTATATATATATATATACTAGAGGCTTGGTGCATGAAATTCATGCACTTAGGGGAGTCGCTCAGCCTGGCCTGCACCTTCTCATAGTCTGGGAGCCCTTAGAGGATGTATGACTGGTGGGAGCAGGGGGAGCGGGCCTAAGCCACCAGTTGGACATCTCCATGGAGGCAGGAGAGGCTCCCGTCACTGCTGATGTGCACACCAGCCACGAGCCTGGCTCAGGGCTTTTGGCTGAGCAGCACTACCCCTGTGGGAACACAGTGACCACCAGGGGACAGCTCCTGCATTGAGCGTCTGCCCCTGATGGTCAGTGTGCATCATAGCGGCCTGTCATTCCACTGTTCAGTCGATTTGCATATTAGCCTTTTATTACATAGGATTTAATGAATTTTTATTTTAAGAATTTGCAAAGACCTGCACATAAAAATTAACACACAGGTAAATTAGAATGATTTTTAAATGGCAAAGCATACTAAACTTTGTAAGATTCCAAATATAAAATAAGTTTACCATTTGTCTGAATAGTAAATTTTAAAAGTTTAGCCTAAATTTATATTAGTTTCTAAAAATGTGGGTTGTAAAATCTAAATAAAGAAATATATAGTGAAAATTTTCTTTGTTTTAGTTATTCTATTAAGATTTACTGCATTTCATTTTTGTCAAAATATGATAATTACTTTGTGGATTTTTCTTCTTGGTTTAGGTGCCTGAAAGTAGGATGATATCCAATAGTTTATGATCATCAAAACCAGAAAGAATCAATTTTTTAATATAATGGTTTAAAACTTTCTGATACATTCATAAAATATTTGGAATTAAATTTGGAATAAAATATTACTGTGTTATTCTAATGTTTCTAAATACTGGTGTGGATTTAATTGCAATAGTAGAATTAGTTATAATAGTCAAATAGTAGACTTTCATATGGGGTTATTACATTTTTTTTCATTTTGTTTTCCAGATATTTTACATTTTATTAATTTTATAACCCTTTCAGTAATGTGCTATATGTATCAAATCATTTGCATGGCCTGAACATATTTAATTGATCTGTATTTCTGCTTCAAAACCTAGAAGCTACTTTTAATAATAAGTGACTCCCTTCCTTCTTTCCTTCCTACATTCCTTTCTTTCTTTCTTTAAACAGGCCTTTAGTGAGTTTGAGATAGAGCAGCATCAAGAATGTGCTTACGATCACTTGGAAGTATTTGATGGAGAAACAGAAAAATCACCAATTCTTGGACGACTATGTGGCAACAAGATCCCAGAGCCCCTAGTGGCTACTGGAAATAAAATGTTTGTTCGGTTTGTTTCTGATGCATCTGTTCAAAGAAGAGGCTTTCAAGCTACACATTCTACAGGTCAGCAAATTAGGGCCCTGCTTCTCTTTCCTGACTAAGGGCCAGCTTTTCTTCCTGTGAATGCAGTGGGTCCCATAACAGGATCCTACAACAGAGTAAATCTCACTGAAGCACTATCTAGAGCAGTGGTTCTCAACCTTCCTAATACCATGACCCTTTAATACAGTTCCTCATGTTGTGGTGACCCCCAACCATAAAATTATTTTCGTTGCTACTTCATAACTGTCATTTTGCTGCTGCTATGAATCATAATGTAAATATCTGATATGCAGGATGTATTTTCATTGTTACAAATTGAACATCATTAAAGCATAGTGATTAATCACAAAAATAATATGTAATTATATATGTGTTTTCCGATGGTCTTAGGCAACCCCTGTGAAAGGGTCGTTCGACCCCAAAGGGGTCGCGACCCACAGGTTGAGAATCGCTGGTCTAGAACCATGCAGCATCCGACCTATGTAGCTTTTATCATTGATGAACATTTAGGAAGCAACCTAATAGTTTGGTCTGATTCGTATTCAAATGCATTATGATCAAGTTGAACTACATATTTCTAAATATTTCTATAATGTGTTGTTAACTGTAACAATTTGATTTATATGCCATATTTAACAGATAGAAAATTTATAGTTTGGTATTCAAAAATTATGTGTTCTCTAATCCCGACTAGTTAGTTAGTTTTCGCATTAGTTCATTTTTTAATCAAATTTGGGGATCATCTGTTTTATAGAACCTTATTTGTTTCCCCTTTTATTTGGCATGAAACACAGAAGTTCTGTAACCCTAATCACTAATATGATTTACAGATTACAGCTGTTCTACAAGTCTTTAAGAAATAAACTATAATTTACAAAAATATGGGTAATTTTAGGCAAACAGTAGAATAGTATTTTTATATCTTGGATCCAATTTAATAATATATTCCATAAATGTCTAAGAAATGTCATTTTTTAAGCCTTTTTTAAAAAGAAATCAGTTAATTGCAGATGTTTACTGAAGTCATTTAGCTTATAGTGACATCTAGTGGCATTAACTATGCCTAAACTGTTGAGACACGGGAGAAATCTGTCTTGGTATAGAACAGTATAAAATGTCTACATCAACGATTTCCAACCTTTTTCATCTCATGGCACACATAAACTAATTAATAAATTCTGCAGTGCACCAAAAATATATTTTTGCAAACCTGACAAAAAATAGATATAATTTTAATTCCTTCACACTGAACAGCTGTTGTGTTGGCTGTTGTCATATTTTTATTTGACAATCTAAGGCAAAAAAAGTCAGTGCCCTTGACTAAATAGTCAAGTATTGCATGTTTTAAATATTCTTGCAGCCCACCAGTTTAAAATTACTGGCCTGCATACTTATGAAACAATTTTAGTGCAGTAATTTTTGTCACAGTTTCATGCTGATTGCTTTTATCTTTTTGTTTCATTTTGTTTTAGAAATTTTAATTTTAATTATTTTATTGTCCAATATTATTTTTCACTCTAGTGTATTTTATTATAAGCATTAGATTTACATTGAAGGCTGTGAGAATGTGAATATTAATTGTCAGGATATGTATCTGATTCATAGTAGTAATAATAAGATTCAGATGTAATATAAAGTAATAATTTTTTATGATTAATATAAATATTTTGGTTTGAGAAAAATCTTCCGTGGACCATAAATTTCATATTAATGAAGGATTTTCCATACATTTGACATTTACTTTTAAATATTTTTCTGATAACTTGTCATGTGTTGAAGGAATTTGGAATCCCATTACTCTGTCAGTATTTTTCTAACAGTAGAGAGGTCATGGTATATGAAATTCTGGCTATCACAAATTCCAAGAATGCAGTGTGAAAACATGCTTTCAAAACTTTCAAAATAGTTGATGATACGGTATTTTAAATTATCTGAGTATAAATTCCATTTTTTTAGCTTGGTAAAAATTTTCTTTAATAGGGAAACTTCTCTTTGTACTTGTCGTAAATGGAAAGTAAAGATTATGTTGGTACATCTGAGCTCTTGGTCCAACTATGCCATCACCTACCTGGGAACTTGGAAAAGATACTGTCTTTGGATCTCAGTTTCTTCATCTGTAAAATAATAATTTCAAAGTTTCTTACAGCTACAAACTCCATGACACCTTAATGTGCCTGGCATCTGCTCACGGAGTCTATTTGCAGTGTTTATATTCCCATTAAGAATCTATTAGTAAGGGGAAGAGATCAACCAAAGGACTTGTATGCACGCATATAAGCCTAACCAATGGACACAGACACCAGGGGGGGTGAGGGCATAAGTGGGGGAGTGGGGAGGGGGGCAATGGAGGGATAAGATCACATATGTAATACCTTAATCAATAAAGAAATTAAATAATACATAAATAGATACCTTTTAAGAGAAAAATTTAAAAAAAGAATATATTGGTAGAATCTAATTCTCTACTTTGGGGGGGAAATTTTAAAAGATCTCTGTTGTTAAAAGTATTACATAGGTCCTCCTAACCTCTTCCAGCCCGCTCCCATCCACCCCCCCTCAGGTCCCCACCACCCCATTGTCCCTGTCCAGAGGTTATGCATATATGCATACAAGTTCCTTGGTTGATCTCTTCCCACCCACCCTCCCCTGCCTTACCTCTGAGGTTCAACAGTCTGTTCATGCGTCTAATTAAAGTTGATATTCAATATTAATTTCAGGTGTATCGCATAGTGATTAGACATTTATATAACTTAAAAAATGGCACTCCCAATAAATCTGGTACCCAGCACTTGAGGCACATACATATGCTTTACAAACATTGAATGCTCAAAAGAGCTATATGATATAGATATTATTTTTATTTTTTCAGAGGAAGACATTGAAAATCTAGAGAAGTTATTAATTTTCAAAGAATTCTAAAATTACATTAAAGCATGGATTTTATCCTAATTTTGTCTCCAAAGTTTATGTACTTTTACTGTATATTTTCTCCTAATATACAAATTTTGGATTAGGAAGGAAACTGTTAAAAAATGGATCACTATTATTTTAAGCAATAGGTAAAGATTGCATGCTTCCTTATTTAAGTTTTAAATATTCCCTCAGTCCAAGAAAATCTAGTCTCGTTTTTTTTCCCTATGCAGTTTACACCCATTCATAAACCCACGAGAACAACCTCGATCTCATTTTGTTAAGTAAAATGTGCCTTGGATATTGTCCAATCCAGCACTGTCATCTCAGAAATGAGGATTCTGAGATGACTAAAACTTAGATGACAACCACATAACAAAAAATAACAGTTGGAATTAGCGTTCTGGCATTCCAACTTTTTATCATTTGCTCTTATCAAAAATTGTAGGTTTTTTTCTTTATGTATAATTTTTTGCCCTCATTTAACCAGCTTTCTTGGAATTTTCTGGACAGGTTTATTTTATACTGCTACTTTCTAGTAGCCACATCTTTTGAAATATTCTTATGTTCTGCCTACTATGTATTTTTCCCCAGAGCTTTCTTTTTAACAAGTTTTTCCTATTCTGTAGTTTTTCATCAAATATTTATTGAGCACAAGCTTTAGATGGATATGTAAGGTATTAGTAATTTATGAGGGAAAATTAGGAATTCAAGGGAATTTATAGGAAAATAGGAGTTTTCACCTGTGAACAGCTTACAGTATGATAAATTAAACTGATTTTCAGACATTTCTGAACTTCTGATTTAGGGCAGTTTCTACTAAAAAGACAGCCAAATCCAATACTACATTTGTCCACTGTTTTTGCTACATTTATAAAGTGCTTATGCATGATTTACAGCCTTCTGGAATACATATGGCTATTATCAATGGACCCTGAAGTATGCATTTTAATTTACTTCCCTGAATTTATATTTCTCTATACAATTTTAATTTTATTCACAAGAAAAGCTTCTAACATTACAAATTTTGAAACCAGGTGATTGGAAATATGCTTTAATATAGCTTTATGGCTACTTTTCCTCAAGTAATACTGTCCAAATCCACTGGAAATGGACTTCATTGGAGAATAGTGTTTTCCCCTGACAGTAGATCTGGTTTCTTATAGGTCCAATTTTATTTTAATCTGGTAGCAGTGTTATTGTTACAGTTTTAAATAAATGAATTGTAAGGAACAAATCTTTCCAGTAAAAAGAAAAATCCGGTGTATTCGCTCAGAGGATGCAGCTATAATACAGGAAAAAAAGGAGAAATGTGGAGAGAAAGTAATGTTTTAAAACATGGCATTGTCTGGTAGGACTTTTCTGTAGCACAAATCATCACACTTCCAATGCCATTTAAAAATCAAATGATACATTATTATGCTCCTTAGAAAGGAAATTATTTTGATCTAACTCAATTAAAGTAGAATGCCCACCACTAAAAGCACTTATAGGTCAAATTACAGGACCTCTCCCGGAATTTAATACTTTTTCAGGAAATGAACAAGCTTGTCTTTCCAAATTAAAATGAAGGCCACCCCTGGGCTTCTCTTCCCTTCTTTTTCCTTTCTTATTGAGCTTCATTTTCCATTTCCCAGAATTCTGTAGAGGACGCTCTGGGAGCTTGCAAAGTGTTTTCAATGGATTTGAAGATGGTATTGCTGACATGCTAAACTACTCTGTTTATATTTTGCTGACTTGGTAAATGAATAGGGATATTTGCAGGAAGTGTGTTTACTCTATTTAAATATCTTCTTTTAAAGGGATCATGTAAAATGAACTATTGAACATATTTCACTCATAAGCAATTGCCCCACGCTGGCTGTTATTTCCTGCTGATGGAAATGCTTCCCAGGCCAATCAGATCTCTTGCATGCAATGGCCAAATGTTCGTCCTTTACAAAGGTATCCTGCAGACTTAATCCTCTCTCCTTTTTTTTCATGGAAAATTAATTCCAGATTTATTATTTTGAGCCATCCATAGGAACTCATGAAACTCATAGGGTCCATAGGGTTATTTGAGTGATTCATAGGATTCAGTTGTGAATTGAAACAGATAAAAACGGGAACTTTTTGAAATATTTTAAGCCGTTTTTTTCAAACTATGCAATTTTTTTGGTTTTCAATAAAATTGAATGATAATGCCTTCTGCCTTTTGCAGACAGCAATAACTCCTAAGTTGAGAAGTTAGAACATGGTTAGACTCCATTGGAATGGAAACTGCCCTGTTAAAGCTCATTGAGCTTACCTGTTTCATTTCTCACCTGGCAGAGTGCGGTGGCCGCCTGAAAGCGGAATCCAAGCCCAGAGACCTTTACTCACATGCGCAGTTTGGCGATAACAACTACCCAGCGCAAGTCGACTGTGAATGGCTATTAGTGTCAGAACGGGGCTCGCGACTGGAGTTATCTTTCCCGATTTTCGAAGTGGAAGAAGAAGCTGACTGTGGCTATGACTATGTTGAGCTCTTTGGTGGCCTCGATTCAACAGCGATGGGGCTTGGTCGATTTTGTGGATCAGGGGTAAATACAGTACCAACAGAATACCATAGCCATGATAAAAAAAAAAAAAAAAAAGCCTATCGATTCATGCTTAACATATGTAACATACAGAACAGCGGTGTTTTGATAAAAAAAAAAAAAAAAAGTGATATATTATCAGTTTCCTAACACATTATAACACGCCTTACCACTTCTTACCACTTCTGGTGAATTTGCTTGATAATTTCAAAAGAGATAGATGAATTCAGTAGTTATAATTTCTTGTTACCAGCCACATTCTAAATTTTATATTCTTGGCTTTATAGTGCAATAAATATTTAACTTTTTAATAATATAAATGGAATATACTTAAACACACACATTTGACAATGTTGTCACCTTCCTAAATTAAAGCGCACACACACAAAAAACAAACAAACACAAATATGCACCCCCATTCAGATTGACATTCTCTTTTCAACAAATGTGTTTGGTGGGAGTGGATGGTCCGCCACCGTGCAGATCAGCGGGATGTTATTCAAACGCAGGGGATCACTCTGCACAGGACACATTGCCAGGTACAGGCCAGAGCGTGTCACAATGAGAAATTTAAAAAATAAAGGGGGAAGCTTAAGGAAAGCCTCAGTGCTTTCTTTCCCAGAATCCTCTGCATCAATATCAAATCCACAGACTCAATATCTGAGTATATATATTGTTTTGACGACATTATCCCCAATTTTTTTTTTATTGTCTATCAGTACCTATTGCTTAATTAATACTATTAAATTCCTGTCCAAATAGCAACTAAAATGAAAACAAAAACCTTCTTGGACTTCAATTATTAAAACTAGAAGGAATGGAAAGTTTGGGTTCTGGAAGTGACTCTGCCTCAGAGCAGCTCTTGAAACAAGTTTAATGTCTCTTCATCCTCTCTGAGCCTCACTTTATTAATTTGTAAATCAAAGGAACTTGGCTTAAAAATTTGGGCACAAAACACCAAGTTCCAGAATTTGGAAACAGACTTAAGTATGCTCAAAGCCCAGCTACCTTACTGACTAACTGTGTAAACTTGAGCATGTCATTTGCTTCTCTGAAACTCAAGTTTTCTTATCTGTAAAATGAAGAAATCACTCATATCCACTTTCCAAGGTTTTAGGAGGATTCAATTATATACCCCCCAAAAAGTTCCCAAACACGAATTCCATGAAAGGAAAAGTGACTTATTCTGTTGTTTGTTTGTTTTCTTCAGCCACCAGAAGAGATCTATTCAAATGGGGATGCAGTTTTGATTCATTTTCACACTGATGACACAATCAACAAGAAAGGATTTCATATAAGATACAAAAGCATTAGGTATCAAGATACCACGCATACCAAATAACTAATACCAAAACCTCCTTCAGAAAATAAAGGAATGTGCATAACAGAGAGAAGACATCGTTTGTTTTTTTTAAATGAAGATATTAGCACAATGTTTTATATAATAAAACTGAACAGAAGAAAGCTGTACGACCAGAATTATCTCTGTACCGAACGAGAAGTTGGCAGTGAACCTTGGTCAGCTTTGCCAGGGTATTTGAACTCCAGCTTGACGGTATGAATAAAGCCGGTGGAAGGGCATGACGTGCTTCAAGGAAGACTCCACAAGCTTTTGCTCACAGCGTGACGCAGATGCCTCGCAAGTCAGACAATTAGGTTCAGGGTCTGTGGGCCTCCAGAGTGTTCTTTTAGACAATTTTGCAAGATTGGGGATAAATAAAAGGATCTTGCAGGTCATAAACTGGAAAACCCTCTCCTTGTTTCTTAGGATAATTGCTTTGGCGTTGTATCTTGGACACAGTTACCAGATCCTTGTAAAATGTTGTGAAATAGGAGTCTTAAAGAGGGTGGTTTGTAATTTAAATGTAGGTTTGTCCAATGTTTGGAAACTGGAATATTTCAGCTTCATTATTTTCATTTGCAGGCCAGAGTAACCTCTTTGAAACATAGATCATCTTGAGACCACTTTATTTTACTGATATTTTGACAACTTTGAAATGTCAATAGTTTCTGTTATAGCAATTAAACTCTAGACATCATTTTTTGAAGTGCTGAAAAGTGCCCAGTTGATCCGTAGACTCAGTTCTTTCAGCGAAAGTGCTGCCTTTTCACACCAAATCCAAGAAGCCTTGTGCTGGCTTATGAACTTAACTGGAAAAAAAAAATTCCCAACTGGTGTGAACAGGATTCTTCTAAATGAAATGACTGTCTGGGTGGTTCGTACTCAAGTTACCACTGCTGCTATTGTCTTTCTTTTGTTGTTGATCTGTTGTAGTTGTAGTTGTTATTGTTGATGTTGTCATGGTTAATGTTGTATTTAAAAAAAATGAAATGAAGCGGAAGTAGACCTTGTAAGAATTGAAAGATCTCTCTCTCTCTCTTTCCTTTTTTTTCCTTCTTGGGATTCACTTTAAGACAAAAAATGCAATGTTGGAAAAAGGTTTTGTTTCTGAAAGACTTTCTATGGTGCTATTCCATGAACATTTTTTTAAACAAAGTTTTTGACTTTGAGCCAACCACCTGTAGACTATGAATGTCTCCCTCTGTCTGGCTGGTGGCATTTGAAGATGAAAGACTTGTAAAATGTATCAAGAGTATATCATCGCAAGGGCAGCACTTGTCCTATGGAACAACTACTTATAATGCCTTAGAATTCTTGCACATGATCAACCATATCCTCCTAGAAACACATCTTTTGAAATATTGCACGTAATAGTGTATGTTAATTAGCAGCTCTATGAGGAAAATCCATTTCTCTGACGGAACATTGGGTATAAATATGTTGACTTGCTTTTGTTGTAGAAAATGGTTTTCTGCTTTAAAGCCATGTGTGTTTTTAATATTAATGTATGTATATGTGAGCTTGTCTGAGTGAAGCTAAAAGAAGGTGAAAAGTAGTGGGCGGTTTGAAAAGTTAAAATTTATGTGCCAAGTTCTACTAGAATCCTGTTTGAAGTAGCACCTTTCTTAGGCAGTTTCATGGACAAATAATGGGAACTTCTAATTATTATCGACCCATTAAAAAACGGCTCTTTCCTTCAGAGAAACTCTATTTTGATATGTTTTGATGTTGATGGAGATCGCTCTATAAAGTAGCTTTGTTTCTGTTAGCTGTCCATGAATATTGAACATTTAATAAAATTGGGTATTTTTCTTCATTTTTACAAAATTAAACTATACACACAGATATAGTTTATTTGTTATTGTTGCCCTAAAGAATCTTTTCTTGCATATGAATTATAATATGTAAATACATTTTTAAAACCAATCTTTTCATCTTATTGAATGTTACTTTGGAAATGTATAACTATTGCCTGCAACGTAATAAGATTTTAATGGAGCTGACTTATTCCAGTAACTTCTATATTTTTCACCAATCTCCAAATAGCCAAAATTTATCAGGAATGGGAAAGAGAAAAGAAAAAACACATGAACACCCAGTGTACGACACTGTGCCCAGCCTGGGACTGGGCACACGTACTAGCTCTTTTTAACCTTGTGCTCCCTTTGACAACTGTGATGATGTTCTCATTTTCTAGTTCAGGACCTGAGGCTCAAAGAACACACATAATATTCCCAGGGTCACAGTGTACAGTCAGATGTTGAAAGCCAGCTTATCTCTTCTAAAAATCTGTGCTTGTCCTACAAAATGTAGTAAAATCAGTCTTAACGTATATAAATAGTGGATTTTTTTATGATGAAACTTTTCCACATTGAGTAAATTATAGGGTGAATTACATTAAATCTTCAGGATAAACCTATTCCTTTCAGAAACAGCATGGCAATTCGAACATCAACTGTAGATAGCTTTAAGGACTACAGTTAGTACTAGAAACATAAAAAAACAATAGTTTGAAGTTAGTAACCATGGGCCTTTTGTTCAAATAAATATTAAATTATTTTATCTGCTGTGGTAGGGAAATGTAGTGTTCTACTTTATGAAATATTCTGGATATTCCAGTTGACAATTAGGCTACAATGTGCTGCTTCAACACAACCGAGAAGTTAAAGTTAAAAGGTATTTAGAAAGCATATGGCGATGTCATAACTTAGGTCTCGAGTGTGGTCATTAATTTTTATTGTATCTTATGTCATATCAGTTCACTGCATACTAATTTATATTAATTCCACTTTGGCTTAAATGTGTTGTTAAATGCAAATACAGACAGCTTCAATGTTTTGTTAATAATTGTTAGTTACTGTTCTAGACATTTTATTAAATTAATTTTGTAAATTATTTTCAACCCCTACATTAGTATATTGGTTGTTCTATTTGCCACAGTTCTTACTCCTATGCATCCTGTACACAGAAAAAAACTGCTCCCACTTCATATGATTTTATTAAGTTATTTTTAAAAGTCATTAATCTAGTTTATTATCATGCCTTAATGTACCTGAATAAAACAACATTTTTAAACAAATGAATGAGAAACAGCAATTATATTTTGAAGCTCCCAAATGTTTCCTGTTTATATTGGCTGGATTTTGCTATCTAAGACTAAGTTTAAGATATTACAGTGTCATACTCAAATTCTACTCAATTTTGTTTTTAAATATCTTAGTCTCCTTTATTTGATTTATATTACTACTGTATTTTTATGGGAAGCCTCAAATAGGAAATTTTATTCTTCCACACAGAAAATCTCTAAAAACATCTAATGATTAATTATTATTCTTTAAGAAGAATAAAAATTATTTTTAAAAGAAACATTAAATTAAATTACAGATTGCTTAGATTTAGTGAACTACAGTTGTGTGACATGCAAAATGACTTTTACTTAGCAATTATCAAAATGTTTGGAAATTTTTTCAGTGATAATGAGAATTAGATTTACTTTTTGGAAAACCTTTATACCACTTGTTAAATCTGGCATGAGAAGAGAAGCAGGAAAAATAATTGCCTCCTAAAGTTTTATAATTTGAACTACAGTAATGCCTTCTTTTTCTCTCTCCCTTTTTTTTAATCCTCACCTGAGGATATTTTCCCATTGATTTTTTTAGAGAGAGAGGAAGGGATATAGAGAGAAAGAAATATCGATGTGAGAGAGACACATTGATTGGTTGCCTCCCACCCCAACAGGGCGGAGGATCAAGCCTACAACGGAGATATGTGCCCTTGGCCAGAATCAAACTCCGGACCCTTCAGTCTGTGGGCCGATGCTCTAGCCACTAATCCAAACCAGCCTGGGCATGCCTTTATTATAAGAAAAAATGTGTAATATGAGCTTATTAAAAAGGAAAAAAAGCTGGTCTGTGAATGAATGGAAGCATTTTATGCTTCAATGCATAGTGAATACTTAGCATTTAGCCTTTTAGTATTATTATAAAATTGAAAAATTTTGTCATTAGCTTAGAAAAAAATTGTTGATAAAGCTGGCTCTGATACATGCTGAGATATTATTATTAGTCTCTGAACTTTCTTTTGACATCTACTCTTTCTCATTGTCCAGCCTTCAACGCACCCGTCTTTCACTACCCACCATGGTATTCAACCTGAATCCAGGCTCACCACGTGTGATTTGAATTTGCACTTTGACACCTCATTTCTGCAGACACTGATGCAGGATGATTCCAAAGAGGTTCTAGGCCTCTTTACATACAATATCTCACACAGTATCTCAAATAACAATTTTAATACAATAAATATCAGTTTCTAATTTTAGAAGACTTGGAGGTGGAAATATATCTGGGTTAAAGCTTATGAAAGAGAAGACCTAAGGAGCCAATATGCAGCTAGATAGAAGACAGAAGGTCCTGGCAGCTGGGCCTTGTTTTGTCTTTGTTGCCAGGGTGAAGGCGTTGAGTAAGTAATGAAATTATTTGTGTTATGTGTAATTTCTATACGAATACAAACTAATCGCTTCACCAATCCAACTGCCCTTACTCTGCTCTGTCTACCCATATTTTTCATATAGTTGAAAAATTAGTTATATAGCATTTTATTTTTGGCCTATCAAACTTTTAGAGCATACTTGCCTCTGAAATAAAAATAGCAACTAAGGTTATTCAAACTGATGCATAGTAGTTTACACATGAGCTCAATGCATCAGTGTATTTTGCAAATTATATTGTAAAAAGCAGATCCAATGATGCTTCTATTCACTAATATTATATGACTATTAGTCTTTTTATTTTCTTTTTTTAAATAGTTTTATTGATTTCAGAGAGGAAGGGAGGAGAGAGAGAGAAACATCAATGATGAGAGAGAATCACTCATTGGCTGCCTCCTGCATACCCCTCACTGGGGATCAAACCTGCAACCTGGGCATGTGCCCTTGGCTGGAATCGAACCTGAGACCCTTCAGTCTGCAGGCTGATGCTCTATTCACTTAGCCAAACCAGCTAGGGCTCGACTATTAGTCTTAATATTTAACTCTTCAAAAATTTAAGGACTGACAAACTTCATATCCATCAAAAGCTCTTCTAGGAAATTTTATAAGAGTAACTATAAAAATTTAATTAAAAACAATAATTTTAAATCATGATTCCTTTATGATATTTAAAGGGAGGGCTCACAAATATTTAAAATTTGACATCTGTCAGTGTTTTTTTTTTTTAATGCCTGACATTGACTCACTTATTCCTCACAACTATGAGTTGTATTTTATTGTCTCTATTTTATGAGGAAGAAAATCAAATATACTGGTAATCAAAGTAAATATAAATCACAATAAAAAATCAGACTACAACTTTTAATTTAAGAAATGATATACTCACATTGGATCACAAATACATTTATAAGCTTTTAGAAAAGTTGCTTGTAAAACATAGTACCAGAAAAGTTGGAAGTCACATCAGATACTTCTAAGCTAAAAAATAACTAGTGTTTCTATAGAAATATTAAATAAAATAAATCTTGAGGCATAAAAGTTCATCTGGTGGTGACTCCATAATGATAACAATAAATAATACATTTAAACATTTTAAAACAAATTTTAAAAACTTGAAGTTGGATGAATGTAAGAACAGACCCTCAAAATATATAAAATTGTCAAAATCGTTTAAAAAAAATTGTAATCCATGATGATAAATTAGAATACTAAGGTCTCAGTGAGAGAGATATTAAGATATAAAATATTTGCAATCTATATACCTGACGAAGGATTTGAACTCAGAGTATATTAAGGAATCCTAAAATTCAGTAAGATATAAACCACCCAATAGATGAAGGGTTGACAAGCTACATGCTCTGACCCAAATCCAGCGTGCTTCCTCCTTGTGCTCAGCCCATGAGCTAAGACTAGTTAAAAAGTTGAGGACAATTGCATGTTGCCCATATGCCCTAAAATACTATTTTGGCCCTTTACAGAAAAAGATAGCTAACCTATGTAAGAGATAAATGTGCAAAGGATATGTATGGGTGATTCACAGAAGAGGAAATCAGAATGGTCAATAAACAGATGAAAACATGTTTGACATGGCTATTATTTAAAAACTTCAAATTTAAAAAGTGGGATACTGTTATATATCCATTGCATTTGTAAAACTTAAAGTCTTAAACACTTCCGGAGTTTGCAAGGCTGTATATAGCACAGGAACTCTTACACACTCCTGGACGGAATGACAGTGCAAACCCTTTGGATAGCTACTTGACCATATCTAGCACTTGGAAGGTGTCTTACCCATCAACCAAGAATTCCATTCAATGATATAGAAAATTTCTTGTCCTCTTGCCTGGTTTTAGAGAAGCCATTCAAACTTTCAGAACTGAGTATCGGGAAGTTGGGCCAGGAATTTTGTTTGACTACTCAGTCAATTTCCTTACTAGTAATTGGTCAGTTCAGATTTTCTATTTCATACTTCATCTTCATGATTCAGTAGGTTGTGTAATAATAAAAATGTATCCACTTATTCTAGGCTATCCAATTTGTTGGTCTATATTTGTTCATAGAAACTTTTATGATCCTTTGTATGTGCACAGTATTGGTTGTATTGTCTCCTCTTTCACTTACAATTTTATTTACTTGAGTCCTCTTTTTTGCTCGGTAAGTCTAACTAAAGATTTGTCAATTGTGTTTGTTTTTTCAAAGAACCAGCTCTTAGTTTCATTGATCTTTTTTATATAATTAATGTTCTATTTTTTCCAATTATCCCTATTAAAATAGTTGATTGTTCTTAGGGAAATAACTATACCTATACTGCTCTTTTATCTATCTATCTATCTATCTATCTATCTATCTACCTACCTTCCTATACACCTACCAATCTACCTACATATATGTTAGATATGAGCTATACCTATTATTACAGCTTGTCTTCTTCCCCAATTATTGCATTAATAATCACTCATTGCATTCAATTTTCCAACATATTTTAAATTTCCTCATGAAAATTTGCTTTTCACTTAATATTTCATTTTCAGAAAAGTTTAGTGTTGCTTTCAACTGCTGATGAATTGGAACCAATCTTTTTCTTGATTATTTTTCTTTCTAAAATTAATTTCTACTTGAATAAGTATTTTAAATATATTGTTTCCTTAAAAATATACAATCATTTACCGAAGAAAGCACCACAATACTCCATAATATACTTTTCATACTAGCATATATTAATCTCTTTTCATGTGCCAGGCACTATTTTAAGATCTTTAAATTACATTAATTTATTTAATCCTCAGAATAATCCTACAAGATAAATTCATTTTTACCAATGGCAAAACTGTATGACATAGTAAAGAGTACTAACAACCTCATTCATTTTTAACTTTCACAATATTTTATAGACTATAATATTGCGCCTATGATATTTATTCTATGTAGTACCTTTTTTATCCCTGAGGACTTACTAGTACATGCATTAAAGACTTATAGCTGCATTAATGTTACGGTTGTTAACATATTAAAGTTTATTTAAGATATGTGTGCAAATAAGCTTGAAGAAAGTGTTAAGGATGTCAGAATACTTTTTAAAATTTTATATTTGGGAATAATAAACCAAGTAAAGCCATTGTGAGTAGCCAGATAATTCTTCTTTTATTATAGACTAACCAAATTGTGAGGTCACTTTTTATAAGGAAGAATGTCAGTAATGCAGTCCTTAATATTGTCACAGTTAATCAAATGTACTTAACTTCTCAATATTGGATACCAGTATAATGATTAAAATACACTAATATTAACCTATTTTATATCATGTTTTGAACAACATTTTGTCTTACTTCTATCAGTTGGGATTACCTATGTCCTATATCCTTACTTCTTATTAGTGTGGATTTTTAAGATTGACTTAAGTATGAGGTAGATGTATTAGTTTGTATGAATTAATATTACTGTATTAGTGTGATAATGTTATAATGCCCTTTGCAGTTCCTCAATTGCAGGTCTCAATTGTAGGTCTATTTTCATTTGAAACTATTTCCCTATCCTCCAATCCTCATATGAAACTGATAATTTCCACATCTACATAGCCAGTGCAGACTGCTTTGTTATGTTCCTGATCTGAATATCAAACTACCAACCAGGTATTTCAAAAATACCTCAAACTCAATATATCCAAACTGAAGTCAGGATTCTATGCACTCTGTTTTCAGGAATGACGTAATTTCTCCTCCAGTTGTATAACCGCTAAATCGAGGTGTAATGTTAGAAATCCTTCTGCTGTACCAAGGCTTGTCAATATTACCTCCCAGTTCTCTCTCAGTTTGCTTCTCTCTCCATTGCTGCTTACCAAGGGGGAATTATTATCATGTCTCCCCTGCCCTTTTGTATTAGGTCACTATCTACCAGTCATTTAATCTCTCTACATATAGTAATTTACTTAAACCTAATCCTATGAGGCCAACACTATGATTATCCTGATTCTGCCTATGGGGCAATGTGTTTACATTCACACAACCAGTAAGTGAAATGGCTGGAATTTTAACGAGGTCTACCAGGTGCCTGCATATGTCCTTACACAACATTACAGAACCTGATGGAAAGAAACAAATATTTTATT